TTGGTTGATTAGAAGAATATTTTGGAGGCATATTAATTATTATCATCATTATTAGCCCTATTGAATATAGGAAACTTTTGTTGTACTTTAATTATAAATAATAATGGAATGTATCAACAAATAAGATAAATAGACAAGCAATATAGTAGAAAACATCTTAATCATACGAATAAAATCATACACATAAATATATCCATGGTTAATTAGTTGATTAAAACTTTCTTATAATTTCAATCTCCCACCTTCCAATAGTCATCCTCAAGTTTAATCATATGTATCAATTAGCGCTAAATTACTGCAATAGTTCCAAAAAATGAAGCAAATAGAAAATATATCCTAATTGTTTGAAATTGGGAAAGCAAGGTGTAACAACCTAATTTGGGATTTGATTCTAGAATAAAATATAATTTGTTCTTTCATGAAACACACAACTTTACTAATGTAGATAACAATACAATTATCACATATTAAGATTATAGATTTGAATTTTGGAAAACCAATTTCACCAAAGATAATCTTAAACCATCACATTTCACATGTATAGTGTATCACTACTCAATATTTTACCCTCAGGACATGATCTTGCCACCATAATTTATTTTGTTCATACATGTGACAAAGTTGCCTCGCATAAGGATATACTATTCAGATGTGGACTTCCTATCACTATAAAACCCAACATGGTCAGTTACAAAAAAAGTTTCTACATTAAGCAATTCATGCTTGTATATGAATGCCTTTTTTTAGTGAATTCTTGATGTATTCGACAATATGAGAAAAATTTCTCTTATGTTCATGTTTAGAAGTTGCATGTGTTGAATTACTATCCAACAAGAAATAATATATCTAATCTAGCGATAGAAAAGTGGATCAATTTTTTGACCAATCATCAAAGTAACATCTTCAAACATTTCATTATATGTAATTTTTTAAGTGTTGATAGAAGTTGTTTACTTATTTTTTGGCAAAGTCTGTCTACATCCCTACTTCAATCTGAGTAATTAGCCTAGCCTAATAGACCCTAAGGCACTTAACGCCTTTAGCCTAGTAGAAACTATCTTTATCATTAACCTGCCTAAGGCATTTCCTCAATGGAGCCCAAATATATGATTCTAGGGATCTAAGCTATCATAGTGATATATTACCGTTAAGATATCCTAATTATTTGCTTATTTGAACTTAATTTTCTATCCAACTTAGACCCCTTGACTAAGTAAAAGTTCTAGCTAGCTAATAATCCAAGTACCTTAACCTGATCAACCTTAGCTTATAGCTCTAGCTTAGTGTGGACCTGACACCTTTAGCCTAGTAGAACTATCTTCATCCTTGACTGGCCATAGGCATTTCCTCAATGGAGCCTGAATATATGATTCTAGGACTATAAGCTGTCCTAGAGATGTATTGACCCTAAGATGTCCTAATTATTTGCTTATTTTGACTTAAGTTTTTGTCAAACATAGGCCCCTTAACTGAGCCAATCATTATAGCTAGCTTATAATCCAAGTATACCTTAAACTGATCAACCTTAGCTTATAGATTTGGCTTAGCATGGACTATGAATAGCCCTAATAAGTTCTAGAAACCAACTAGATACCAAATTGCCCAATTGGGTGCCAAAGAACATCTAGAATCCCAAAAAACCTTATCGACCCCTTAAAGCCTCATAGGTTTGAGCTTACTTTGTGGATTGAATTCATGCTCGAGAAAGACCAAAGCCTAATGTAGCCTAGTTTCATTTAAACCCAATTGACCCACTTGAGTCAAATAACCTAATTAGACCTAACATCAACAATTGAACCCCTAGGTTAACTTGAATAGACTAATAGAGTCCTACCAGTTTGAACATAGCTGAGGATGAGAATAAAGCAAATCTAAAGTGAATCAAAACACCTATGCTCAATCTCATCAAATTAATCCTAGGATTCCTCAATTGAGTCATTAGTTGGGTTCACAAGTTCCCTCTAAATGACTGACCCAAATTTGGGCCTAATTGCCCAAGTGTAAGCTCAACCAAAGCTATCTTGACCTCTCATTTGAAATAAAACTTAGAGCACTACACACCAATGTGCAATTGGTCCATCTTATCACAAGCATTAGCATTCCATGCTTACATAATAGGATTCCCAATAACCTAAGAAGCAGCCTTTTCCAGCTTAGGCAAGATATGGAATACCCTCCAATGGCTACTCTCCATCCACGAGGTGGAGTAGAATTCTGATGCCTCAACCCACTTGGTTAGCTTCAATTAGCTTCTTTATAATTGTTGCTCCTCGAGATTTGGTAGAATTACACTTCAACCAACCCAAAATTGTAGTGAAGAAATTTAAGTGTTATGCATGGACTCCCTCCAGAGCACAATTTAGTTTGCCTGGATATTTCCCGGAATTTTTTTACTCTTTGAGCTTTATCCAAGCTTCCTAGCCCTCCAACTCCTTCCTTGACCAACTCCAACAAAACCATTTCAGTAGATTCATTGGTGCAAACTAGACCATCCCGACTTCATCACACTGAGATCAAGCTCCTCAAAGCATTCAACAATTAGGCATGGCTCTCGCTAAGTACATTTCACGAAACCCTGGTGCTTGTTATTCTCCAATTTAGTGCTTTCTGCACTCACACACCTGCTAGCTTGCTCTTGTAGCTATCTTATGTTGTAAAGCTCCCTGAAAGTATTTTTTGAGTCGAATCACTCGAATTGATTCTAAAAAAAGGGAGAAATCCTCTGTAGGAGTTCTCTTCGTAAGAGCACTAAAGTTTGGGGTTGGAGGTTAGGGAAGAAATCTCAGCCTTCTGTTCCTTATGTAATAAAAATATTCTAATAATAATATTTTTTTTGTCAGGTTAAGAATTATTAGATATTTTTTATTGGGATACCTCAGATTTTGATAATCTTTGAAGTGCGACTATCATCAAAATTGAATGCATCATAATTAGAGGACTTTTAATACAAAGACTATAACTTGATATCATGTAAGAAAGTTGAATAACCATATTTTGATAAATTTACCATGCTTTTATTTTCTGCTTCCATATTCCACTTTCACGTGAGTTTCATCCTCGTTTCTAAACATAATCAACCAAATATGTCTTCTTTTCACATGCATATATGGTTCGCTAACTCATGGATGTAATGGAATCTAGTTTTTTTTTTTTTTTTTCTCTCTTTCTTTTGTCATAATTGCACTTACATGTTGGTGATGATAATGATAATGATGATGATGAGTAGTTGCACTTACATGCAAATGTTCATTTTCATTACTGGATAGGCAAGATGAACTCGATTGCAGATTTTAGTCTATCCCTAAGCATTACTCTCAGGTTCCATAGCACTCGAAAGTGAGCTTCATCCCATTTTTCCCAAACGCTAACAGTAAATTGGCCCCGCAGAAAAAGGGTAATTCAATAGTTAAAAACCTCGCCATATAGAATTTTTGGAAAAATCTACCCTATCTCTAGCCCGTCCATGCACATCAATATAGTTCTATAATTATCTTTACTTATCTTTCTCTCCTTCGAATAGGGGTAAACCCAAAATCAGTCTGACAGTAAATCAAATTAGCTAGAAGCTGAAATGTTCTGGGGGTAGATGATAAAAAAAGTGAAGGAATAAATATCTAAGATATTGGTCATTTCAGAGGGTTAATAAGTGTTAAGCAAAACAAAAAAAGAAAAAAAACTATTGAGACATGAAAATATAATGGCTAACCCAGGTCATTAATAAACATAAAACATGTAAAGTTCTAAGATGCATAGTCACATATGAAATTATCAGTATGACAAAAAAGATGGCATCGAAAAATTAAAAATTTGGGAACTCCTTTATTCCATGCATAACAGAAAATATTGCAGTGAAAGAGTCAGCTGACCCCAAAAGTGTTTTGGCTGCCTAAAATCACATTAGTGTTAAAAATAACATTGTTAAAACAATTTTTGCACATGAATGCTCTTCCATGATGGTTAATTATCCATATAAATAAAAGGATAAGAGAATATATCTCCAAAGAATAAATTTAAATTTAAATATACATACATATAATATATATATATATTGGCATGAGATTGCTGCCCTTCCAATGAAACTGTTGGTTATATTTCCTATTGTACATTATAATGATGCACGGTGAAAAGTTCAACCAAGTATCAGTATTTCTAATAAACTTGTCTACCACATAATGATTCAGTAATATTTTAAGGCAGTCTCTTGAAATTTCATTGCAATGACCTTTGATCACGGAAGCATAGCATTTTATGTTGGGGGCATTTACATACATACCACACAAATCTTATGTATTTACATACGTAACACCTAAACATTCTATTTACATGCATACCACTCAAATATTGAACATCAGATCAAAAATACCAACATCAATACCTCTTAAAAGGTGAAAAACACCTTTTCATGCATAGTATTATGACACCATGTTAAAAGTGTAAATATCAAACTTTTGGTGTTAGATATGTAAATAAGAATTGTGTTATGTATGTAAATTTCCCTATATGTTAGTGGTTTACAATTTCCCATGCACCCCTGATATCAAAAATAATGCATGCGAACAACTATTTCTTTGGGTCGTTCATACTTTCACGATGGCATAACAGCACATACTGCCATGTATTTCTAATGTCCTGTGTTATTTATCAAATTATTATTATAATGGCTTACTTTTTGTGCAATTTTTTCCAATGATGAGGTCATTTGAATAATCGGAGGGACAGTAACTAACATTATTTGGCCGATTGTACGAGTGATGCTTTGAACAAATACTCGTGTTAGGACAAAAAAAGAATGGGGTAGGGGTATACAGAAGGAGTATATAAATGCTAAGACAAAAGGAGATGGTTTGGCATGAAGCCTATACATGAGCTGAGAAAAAAGAGCAAATTTTGCACATACTCAAAATTTATTCTCAAAACAAAAGAAGCATGATAATCATTATAAAAAGAATTAGAGAAACATCCATCAACCATAAGTAGCTAATTTCGAGTTATTATTTTACCAGGAAATCAGCTTATCGGAAAACACTTCGAGAAGACTGAATGTTCCATGTGCTGTAAAAAATATAACAGTATATGCTGCATGTTAGTAAATGAGGGAGAGAAAATATGCCAAAAACTATAACAAGGTAAATGGGAATCATTCCACATCTCAAATAGACAAAAATTCAAGTCATCCCATATATAAATAAGAGCTCAAAAATAGCTTCAATCAAGATGCTTGCTAGCTTTCGAGTCTATTATGTAGACAAGTGGACTATTGGAATACTAGATCATAAAAAAAAAATTATGAAATTTTCTGCCCAGCTGAAGTAGACCTTTATGAGGTTGAATTTTTCTTAAAAAGACTGATTATGGATTTCGACTATGCATCATCCTGATAACCCCAATCATCAGTGGAAATAGAACAAAAATGATCTTGTATCTCAAGCTCAAGAAGACTAAATAGAGGGAAGAGATTAAACGTGAGAACCTCTCATTTTTACTTGGAGCCTAAATACTCAGTAAGTCCCGAGTCTAGAAGCAATTATTCAAAGCAACTCATGTCGTACATATGGTCATCACTCAAGAAATTTTCATATCTAGGAACGATAGATATAAAGCAACTCTAAAAAAATTAGACAAATAATCCACTCCCAAAAGTAAATGAATAAACCATCATCATGTCAGCTGTGACAGTATTATTTCTGCAACGTTTTAATTGGTAATAGCTATATCCATTTCAGAAACTAATAGCAAATGTTTATTTCAGCTGAACATTCTCCTTCATAGCCACAAACAATACACCCTTTCTTATCCTTCATTTCTAAGACGTAATTGGAATTAGATAGATCCTTTTAGAAACTAATAGCAAAGTTTAATTCAGTCAAACCTTCTCCTACTCAGCCCCAATCATAACAATATCAACCCTTCTTATTGCTGCTACAAGTAGGAGACCGCATTGAGCTCCCAATTAAAGTTAGGGACATATACATACAAATAGCACACAATTCTTGTGTATTTACATATCTCACACCTAAACTTACATATTTACACAAAACACTCAAAATCTTTAATATCACATACAAAATAGCACAATTGCCACTTTTGAAAAGTGAAATCCACCTTTTCATGCATAGATTCAATGGATCAAACTGCCATAAACATAAATATGAAAGTATAGGTGTGACATATGTAAATACATAAGAATTGTGAGCTAGGTGTGCAAATTTACCTTAAACAGGCTGCAACTTATGGATTTCAAAAAAGCTATCAAGGTTGCACATCATGTAATCAAAAGGCTTTCGTAGTAAAAAAAAAACTGGACATGCATTTTGTCCGAGCCACAAGTGAGCAAACCAGTTACTGACCTGCCCAATAAACAAGCCACTTTTCTCGTTCTTCTTGATCATTACTTTCTATAGACTTGAAAGTAGAGTACACTGGTAAAACAGTCCCCACAGTGCAGCTAGAGAAGCAAAAAAGCAGAAAAAAAATTCCTCGCATACATCAGATTATTGAAAGTGACCTCTAAGCATCAAAACATAGGCTTCGTTTGGTATACCATAAGTGTTCTAGTTTTTGCAATCAGTATTTTATAATTGCTTCTGTATGATCCGTAATTTCAATTTTATGTTCCCATAAACTGCTTTTCTAAAGCAGTTTGTGAGAAAAGCACGAGAAAAACTGCCCAGTTTATATATATATATATATATATATATATATATATATATATATATGTATATATAAGACCTGCTTTCGCAAGTTGCCTTAACTAACGTAAGGCAAATAGAAGCATAAACCAAACGAAGCCTTAGAAACATTTCCAAAACAGTAAACCACAATAGCAAAAAGCATTCTCGATTTCTAACATCCCCATTGAGAATTACTAATAAATATCGTTTATTAGTACACAATAAGTGAAGACATTAACATAAAAAGAAGCATGAGATATGCTTACCAAGCAGTTCTAATCACAATATTCGAACAAATAGGGGTCAAAAGCAAACGCAGGCCAACCTGTAGGGCATGTAACAAGTAAAGGAAAACTGTTAAATTTCTCAAAACTATGCATATATAATTAAATTTATAGTGTTGCTACAAAGATACCAAGATCTCCAAGTTTAGTAAGAGCCCATTTTCTTTGCGAACAAAAAATAAATGTAAGAGAAACTAAGAACTTAATAAAGACATTGTAGCAAGTTAAGATTAGCAAGTAAATGACTTGAGTTCTTCATTTTCAATTTTGAACCAAGTATCATAAGCTTGGATACTTCATACATCAATATTTATCCAGAAATCCTCTCAATGCATACAGTAATTTTACAGAATTTTTTTCCCCTTCAAGGTACGACAATATTTATCTCTAAGGCTTATAATTATAAACATATTACTCATAAATTGTCTTCCAAATTGAGAAGCTATGGTGCCCATGTTCATATATCATTCATTCCTCAAATGGGCATTTGAGAATTCACCGCACCTTTACTGAATAAAATTATCCGATGACTGGAGTGAATCGGTAGCATACCCTTCTAATAAACTCGCCACCCATGTTAATTGTCAGTTAAATAGGTGCAGAAAGAAATAGGATTTTAAAAAAGAAAAACCTCGTGAGATTTATAGATTCCAACAAACATCAAGTATATAATCGAACAATAACATCATCAAAGACCAAAAATTCTGCATAGTATTTCAGCGGTCATCACCGACTCGAATCGGGTAAATAATAAATTAGGGTTTCAAAGCAAACATACATCGCCAGGAATGGACGATCCAAGAAGATCCATCGTGCCAGTTTGACGAACCCTGCAAAAGAAATTAACTTGTATCTCCAGGACGAAACGGTTCCCCCAAAATACGGCTTACACTACAAGCTTAAGACCGCCGCAAAGAAGAGAAAGAATACTTGCGGAAAAAATGGCGAATCGCTGCTGGTAGGAAGAGGAAGCCGTTGCGGTATCGAGAACGATTGCACGGAGACTGTTCGGCGACGGACGTTCGTCAGCCGCGCCACACATGAAGTGAGAGAGAGAGAAAAAAAAAAAAAAAAAAAGGTCATAATATTATTTTTCTAAGTGTTATTGATGTATTATTGTGTTATTATAATACCAGTAATATTCTCAGAATACAATAACATATGAATAATATACAATAACACTTGAATAACACGAAGTGAATATTTTATTATGTTACCTGACTAATTTTTTTTTAAGGTGTGGTGTGATTTCATTGGACTATACATGTAACTATAGGTCTGATGTAATATTATATCTTGAAAGAGGGGGAGGGTTTCCAAGCAAAATTATTCAATTTTCCTATGAGGACGCCTCAATTGCATATTTTACATACATACCATCTCTCATATGTTTCAAACCATCAACCACCTAAAATATTGAGTATAACCTTTTAATCACACATACTTTAAATATAATATTTAACTTAAATATTATGTATAACTACCTAAAATTTTCACTAAAAGCCTTCAATAATAGGTAAAGGAAAGTGGTTGTCATGAAAAATGTTTTTAAAATGTTACATTTAAAGTTTAAAAGGTTAAAATATTATATTCAATATTTTGGTTCGATGTTATGTAAAAACCCCTTAAACTTAAACCATACAAAAACTCATCTCCATTAAACCCAAAAGTGTTTTATTTGATCTCCTTATTTTGGTCATTGTGCCTGTTATTTCTTAGATGGCTCTATGAATTCGTTGTAGCTAATAGTTTTGTTGAATGAATATGATCTCTTTGTTTGTTCGCTCTCATGTTATAACAAGTTGTGTCTTATTATTTTTAGAAGTTTACATTACTCCATGTTTATGTTAATTTTTAGAAAGAAATATTCCTGCTTCTAGTATCATGATGCGTCATTAAAATTTTTTAACATTTAACATGAATCTTCAGACATCTCTTAAGAGATAAATGTTCCAGATTCAAATTCAAGATCACCCAGAACCCTGATTTCAACAAATTTTGTAGTCAAATTGACCGTCTCGAAAACAAAAACTCAATGATATCAAAATTAGTCCAATCTGAATCCAATCAAATCCAAATCAATCTACTAAAACACATTCATAAGCATTTAATAGAATGAACAAATGAACTACAATTTTGATGTATTTATAATCAAATCAAGTTTCTTAATAAATAAAATCGAATGAAACCTAAGCTCACTTAATTTTGAGGTCATTAAGGCCTTTGAATCATTAAAAAAAAAATTTTGATCATGGGGGTATGATATGAACCGTTTAATTAAGTGGTTACGTAAGTTATTCGTCAAATGACCAACTCGCCCTCCCTCATGGGCTATAAATAGACTCCCTCTCCTTACTTTGGGAGGAGTAGAATTCGAGTGTTGTTATAAACTGAAGAGCTGAATATAACTTCTAATCTTCGTAGTCGTTGACCACCATTGGATGTCGTCGCATGTTACTGTCGATCATTGGCCACCAGCGACATTGCTTACAACACTTGTAGCAAGAATATGATGGTTGTTCGTAACAGTTGCATTTCTCCGTACGTCGTATACCGACAAGTACTCTCGGGTGTAAAATAGTAAACTTGAGAGAAGAGTTACAACTACCAACCGGTGTAGCTACCAACTACGAATTATGTGGCTAATTATTATACAACTTGCCACCATGGTCTCTGTAACCAACTAACACTCTTGCAACTGTCAATTATGGACCGTGCGACCAGTTAATACTGTAGCATCCCCCTACGACCTTTGTGGCCAATTGATACTCTTACAAAAACCAACTATGATATATGTGATCAACTACTATTGTAGATTCTCACTATGGACTCCATGAACAACTGACGCTCTTACAGCTTCTAATTGCGGTTTATGTGACCAGTTACTACCCCAACTTTTTACTACAACCTCTATGGTCAACTAACGCTATTTCAGCCACTAACTATGACATATGTGGCAAACTACTACTGTTATAGCTTTCAACTATAACATTTATGACCAACTGAAGCTATTGTCACCAACTAAGACCTATGTGGCCAACTAATGATATTACAATAATATTTTATGGTCTATGTGGCCAACTGATGATATTATAGTCACTAATTATAACCTATGTTGTCAACTGATAATATTACAATAACCAATTGTGGCAAATGTGGTCGACTGATGATATTGCAGTCACCAACTATGACTTATGTGGTCAACGAACAATATTGCAATAAAAAATTATGACTTGTGTGACCAACTAATAATATTGCAGTCATCAATTATGACCTATTAGACCGACTACTATTGTTACTGCTTCCAACCGCAACATTTGTGTCCAACTGACGATATTGCAGCTTCCAACCACGACCTTTATGACAAACTATTTCCTGTTCAGTAACCAACTAAGGCTTTTGTGGCTGATTACTACTGTTATCGCTTTGAACAATGGTTTTTATGGGTAACTAATTCTACTTTAGCCATCAACTACAATATTCATGTTCAATTAAATTTGTTGCAGCACAATCATTGTTATTATATCTTAACTATTATTGAACACTTTAATTATTAGCAGTTTAATTCCATCTCTACTAATTTAAGAGAAGAGTGGACATTTATACTTACAATCATCTAGTGGGTCACTTTAACTGGGTTAGGCCACGTAGTTTTTTATCTTCTGAGGATTTTTAGGCATAAAAAACATTTGTTTCCTCCAACTACTATCTTTTATCTCTATGTGATTGATTTTCAAAAATATCAAATTATCATTTCATCTCTATAAATCTTATGCATACAACAACAATGCAAGAGACCAACATTAAGATGCATAGTTCATTATGAATTTTGCATCTCTCTGATTTTTTTTATTATTATTATTTTTACTTCAATGCTTATTTTCTTAATTATTTTTAATTGAGCAAATATAACTCACATACATTGAATCTTAAAAAATGTTTGATAAGGAGCATAAAAAAAGCAACAACAAGGAATGAAACTACCAAGACTTTCAAGATAAATTAATCTAAAAATCATCCAATCCCTAATTGTTTTTAAAAAAAGTGTAAGATAAATCACTGAACATATGTAGATACTATCTAAACTCGTTGAATTTCTACAAAGTAAAATGCTTTAAATGCATTAACTACAATTAAATAAAATGTATCAATATATTTATCCTTAATTATGATTAATTAGAGCAAGTCATCATTTTTAATGAATTATATAATATAAGCTTAGTTATTTTTCACTGTATATTTATATGATTTATGCCTTTTGAATTCTTGAGAGGAGTTTTAAAATTCTGAATGCATGCATGAATTTATTTCCCATAGTAATTATCAATTTTCTAATTAGTATACAAGAGTTAGTGATAGGGCAGTCCAAAAATTTTATTATTCACAAATAGCTAATGTTTGGTTTCCTAAATGACTCGTGCTTGAATCGTTCGTTGAGCTGGTGAGTTGAATACAAACAATTTTCTTTAAACTCAATTCATAGATGAGGCGAAACAAATAGATAGATGTTTAATTAGGTTTATCTTATTTTGACTCAAAATAAATAAATAAATAAATAATATTATTAAAAAAGTTATTAATTTTCTTATGTTGTACTGAAAAATATTAAACTTTCATATTTTTAAATGATTAACATGAGCTTAAATGAGCCGACGAATTCAAATAGAGTTGAACTTGAACATTCTATGCATCAGCCAATTTGAATGAGCCGAACACGAATATATACTTGGCTCGCTCAAACTTGACTCATTTACACCCTAATTGATGATAGTTGTTCTCAGTTTTAATAAGTAAATTTATTTTCCGTATAATATGTTGCAAGTGTAATTATTTTTGTTCAAGTTAATTTTCTGAGAATAATTTGTTGCCAGTTATTCCATACAAATGTTATTGTCATAGAAATATTTTATTTACAGTTATGAAAAAATTTGTTAACCATTTGTACTTATTATTGTTATTATAATAATTATCATTTTGTTTAATTTTGCACATGTCATTCGAACGCGAGCTACATCCAGACAACAGACGTTATTGCTCGCTACCCGACAACCTGCGGAAAATTTTCTCCAGTCTAACATCTGCTAGTTACATTCAAAACATATAAAATGATAAGTCAGTTAATTAATTTGAACGGAGTTGTTGTTGACATTAATGCATAAAGGCTATTTTGTATGCTACTTCAGCACTCAAGATTCAAGTTGAAATTCGATGCATGCCGGCTTTGCATATAATAAAATAATTTTTGTCAGTTAAGCTTCGTTATTTTGATATAACTCATATAATACCGGTTCCACAGCAGTAAGATGGTGCATCGTGTATACTCCTAAGGTGGCCAACATGCCAAGTTGCTCTTGTTGAGCTGCTTGGCGTCATAGTGATCTGTAATATTGCTCTGTCAGATTATTTTACGAACCTGGCTTGTTGCACTTGTTGAGTTTCCAGATGGCCAGGTTGCCCTGCTAACCTCCTTGATTGTCCTACAGGGTTGTCCTACCAACTTACCAGGTTGCATTGTCAGCTCGCCATTTGCTCTGTTGCTTGCCAAGTAGCCTTGCCAACTTGCCGAACTGCCCTGCTAATTTGTCATGTTGAGTTACCCAACTGCCGAGTTGTCAAACTGATTATTTTCTCGGTTCTTTTTTAAAGTGCTCTGAGTCTTCAACTTGTCTATTTATATGTTGTTGCATGATTTTCTTATTTTATTAAATCTCTCTACAGAATCATATCAATGGTTCAAAGAGAATAAGAATAGAGAAGAATGATATACGACAATAAACAAACAAACAAATAAAAATAGACAAGTGGAAGGCTTATATACGAGTAATCCTCGTGCGATAGGTCGAGAATATACATCAGAACATGATCAGATTGAAGTACCTCACAACACAACATTCACTAAGAGAATATCTACACAAGTCACCCGCAACCAATGAACCAAAGATAACATTCTTGTTTTGTGGTCAAGAGTCTCCCAGAGGATCGTATACTTCCTATTAGTTACATAAATTAAGCTTGCAAGTACTCACTCTTTTGATTAATGCTTGCTTCACCAAAGGTTGAAGTGAAACCTCTCCAACATGGGCTAGCTGCATATGTCATTATGTAGTGACATCAAAAGAATCATTGCAACAACAACAATTTCAGTCACTGTACTACCCCGAAGATCATAAATAAATGATGATGAACACCGTTCATAAAAATCAGTGCTCTACAACATATCCTTAGAGTTCATGTCTCGATAACTACCTTGTAGTTGTTTGCCTTTAAGACCCTAATTGACATCAAATTCTTAATGATATTTGAAACATGTCCAACATTAGTCGACTCCTTCACAAACTCGCAGTGTCATCATGAATCCTAATAAAGATGCTCTCTACACTAATTGTATGATAAGCTTGATTGTTTCTCATAGTCATTGCATATAGAACCACTCCTACTTGGGATCAATGTGATAGAAAAAAGAATTTTCCAAATCCAATACGAATCATCTGCATACAAATGTGAGAATATGTCGAAAACGATACATCTGAATCCAATTCATCACACATCTCCATAATAAGATTAACTTTCACCTCAAAGGAAACTCTCTTTCTCTTCTCTTTCAATTCCAGATAATATTTATTCCAATGATTGGTCTCCAAACAAAAATCACACTTATTTTTTCCAAGACTGCACCCATAAGACTTATCTTTTTTTTATAAGTATTACCATTGTCACCCTTCTTTGCCAAATTTTTTTCTCAAATCTGCATGTTGGAGTGTAAGTGCCTTAAGCTACTCCATTTTTATGGACTTCTTCTCCCTTTGATGAAAATTATGAATCAACAACACCATAATCAAATAGCAAAAATTCAAGTCCTCAATCCCATAAATGAATGTCATTTTGAAATTTACGTACTCATCCATGAGCGAATTCAGAAGAATAAGTGACTTTTCTTCATCTCCAATCTTCCTATCCAGTTTTAACATATATGTTAAAAATTTTGTAAAATCATTCAATGGTTCATCAATAGTTACCTCACATATCTCATATGAAACTTATAGAGTTGACACTTCTTTTAGAGACAATTCTCCACGCTCTTTATGAGATATTTGTTCTCCAAAATTTTTTATAAATTTGTTGTTGCGAGATCTAGATATACACGAGTTGATGTGGTATATGAATAAATCAAACAGGATAACGATCGACGAAAAGAAAAATAGAATAATAAAAATTTACATCATAAAACAATAACACCACAACGAAATACACAGCTTTACGTGGTTCGACAAATTGCCTACGTCCACAGAGTTGCAGAGGATTTTACTACTTGAGAAATTTACATCAGTCGATCACCTCGACTTACAAGAGGAATCTCTCACCTCACTTTGTTGTACTTTGTTGTTCTCTCTTCTTCTCTCTCTATTTTTCTCTCTCTACACTGAGATACACGAAGAAACTCTACACCTAGATACACAAAAAAAGATAAACTTACAAGAGAAATGAAAACTAATTTCTCTTCTGTCACAAGCCACCAAGAAGAAGTCAAGGGAGCACAATCTTCTTCTTCTTTCTTCTTCCTTCTTCTTCCTCTACCGCAAGGAACTACCGCTTGCACTTCTCTTCCTCTGCCCTGAGGAAACCTTCCTCTATCTCGAAGAAACCAAAGAAGAACTCAAAATGTGACTACTAAACCCAAGGAGAGCCATTCAAAGCTTTTATCATGAACAGGAAGGAACTTTCGCGACAGACGCAATTCTTTGCGAAATAAAGGACTGTTCGCGGGAACAGTTTGCGAACAAGGGAGGCGGGAGACACAATCAAGCGTTCGTGAAGTTTCACGAAATAGAAGAGGCGAGAGCGGGAGATCTGTAGCCGGAGGCGGGAGTGGGAGAACACCGATTCGCGATTGAGAACAGCGATCGGGCTCCAGCGCTAACAATCTCCCAATTGGAGACCGATACACTGGCTACAACATCTCCTTCCTAAAACTGATATCCTCCACTGATAGGTCGCTCTTTTTCCTTCAACATGAATCCTCCATCATGAATCCTCCACCTTGAATCCTTTACCTCTGCAACTCAAAGACTTTTCTTCACTCCAGAGACCAACTGAAGCTGTGCACAACTTTAGTTTCTCAAGAGTAACACCCTCAGTCAACATACTAGCAAACTCCACATAACTTTGCACCTCCAAGCTATTTCCTGGTCACTCTTGTCTCTTCTTACAACTCCCACTGCATGGGCAACATATTGCCTCTGCTGAAAGCCTTCTTCAACAAGTTCAGCCTTGTACCACTTACTGACATCACACTCAGTCTTCACCTGGTACACCCACTTGTTGTGCAATGCCTTCTTCCCTGGTGGAAGTTCTATCAGCTCCCACTTGCTCGAACTTTCATCTTGCAATATTTCTTCATAGCTTTGTGGTTCTTCAACATCTGTCCGTAGAACAATAGGAATGGGTGCCCCGGACCCACTCTTTTCTTCACTTCCATCACTGCCCTGCACTGTGGCCTTTGGTAGATTTCCTACCACATTCAAAGCTCCTGAATCAAATATCAAGTCTTCAATAGAACTATGAACTGCCAACAATAGTGCATCCTGTGATTCTTTAGATACCACATTTACGCTATCATTTTCCATCTTCTTAGGATTCTTGCAGTTCCTCCTTATGTGGTCAGCCTTGCTACAATTCTAACAGGTTGCCTGCATACTAAAATTTGATTTTGATCTCCCTATTCTTGAGTTCTTGTCATGTCATCTCCCTCTGAAATCAACATTCAGTGCTGAACTTGAACCTGAGACCTTGACAGAACCTTTTATGTGCACTTCCTCAGCCAAAATCAAATCACGAATATCATTGTATTTCAGTTTAGATTTACTTGCATAACTGCTAGCTGCTATCCTCATGGCTTCACAACTATCTGACAATGAAACCAACAAGATCAGTGCACATATCTCATCATCAAAATCAATTTCCACAGACGATAATTGATTTGTGATAGTATTGAAAATATTCAGGTGTTGAGCAACTCCGCCACCTTCCGCCATCTTCAAATTGAATAACTTCTTCATTAAATGCACCTTGTTATTCGCCGATGACTTTTCATACATACCTGATAAGTCTGTCATGAGATCTGCAGTCATCTTTTCCTTGACGATGATGTGTGCAACGAACCTCAATATGGTCAATCAAATAATCCTCAAAACTTGTCGATCCAACAAATTCCATTCAGCATTCACAAATTCCATTCAGCCTCATCCATCCTTTCAAGTCTTTTCCCCAATAACGGAAGATGAAGTTTCTTCCCATAAATATAATTCTCTATTTGCATCCTCCAATAACCAAAATCTGCGCCATCAAACTTCTCGATCCATGAAACATTCACTTCATTTGCAACCATCATTTCTCATCAGATCTGAAAACCACTCTCTAATATCAGTTGTTATTGCGAGATCTAAATATACACCAGTTAATGTGGTATATGTATAAATCAAACAGGAGAATGATTGACAAAGCAAAAAATAGAACGAGAAAAATTTACACCAGAAAACAATAACACCACAGCGGAACACACAGATTTACGTGATTCAACAAATTGCTGAGGATTTTACTATTTGAGGAATTTACACCAGTCGATCACCTCGACTTACAAGAGAAATTTCTCACTCTCACTTCGTTGCTCCCTCTTCTTCTTTCTATGCTCTTCTCTCTCTACACTGAGATACACGAAGAAACTCTACACTGAGATACATCGAAGAAAGATAAACTTACAAGAGAAATAAAAACCAATTTCTCTTCTACCACAAGCCACCGAGAAAAAGCCAAGGGAGAACAATCTTCTTTTTTCTTCTTCCTTCTTCTTCCTCTACAACAAGAAACCACCGCTCGCACTTCTCTTCCTCTGCCTCGAGGAAATCTTCCTCTATCCCGAGGAAATCGAAGAAGAACTCAAAATGTGACTACTAAACCCAATGAGAGTCATTCAAAGCTTTTATCACGAACAGGAAGGAGCTTTCGCGACATACGCGATTCTTCACGAAATAATGAAATGTTCGGAGGAACAGTTCACGAACAAGGGAGGCGGGAGACGCAATAGAGCGTTCGTGACGTTTCGCGAAATAGAGGAGGCGGGAGCGGGAGAACGCCGATTCGCGATCGGGCTCCAGCGCTAACAAAATTTTCTCCACAAGTATCCATCATTACCATATATTTGATCTATTGAGATAAGCAATTTCAAAAATAAGTCACAAGCACTCTAATTCATCTTCAACTAATCTCTTTCTGACATCTCTTCAAACATTCATCACTATCAAGAACTTTCTCCTGATTCAAAAGCACAACACATCCATCACTTCTCATTACTATATAATAATGTTTCCTTTATGGTCAAATCTCGTCACATCGATCTTAAAGGGGTGTGTAACCACCTGATGAATCAATGCCTTTTTTACTCTCATGGTGGATATTGAACTATCTCATAACATGTAATTATTCATAGTTCCATCAAATCTGATAGCCTAACTTGCTATGTTCTCTTTGCCTCTGGAGTCAGAGATGCTTGTTATCGGAATAACCCCAATCCAGCTCTGATACCAAATTGTTATGCGAAACAATGCAGTAAACAAAATCATACAATTAAACAATAAAACACAGTGCTATTTACGTGGTTCGATAAAAAATTACCTACATCCATGATGACGGATTATTCCACTATTAACAGGTGGGGAAAGAGGAAAAAAAATGAACTAAATAGGGTTACAACTCCATACATAAAAATCACATAATCATCTTTATAAATAAGAGAGAATTATGTCATATAAATTATGAACTTTTCTAATATAGAAAAAATATTGTAATTAGATCTCCTCTAATTAGGTTACCCAATACCAATCTTTCTAATGTAGAAAAGATTATATAATTAGATCTTCTCTAATTAGCTTATCTAATATCCATCTTCTTGATATACACCCTTTCTAATATACAACCTTTAGATATAATAATTTTCATAACAAAATCAATTTGTATGTATATTATATATATAATATATATATATATATATAATATCTCTTAAATTTCGATTTAATTTCTTAATCTTAAGGCATATATATTTACATATCTAACATCTAATCTATACCTTTTTATATTTATACCACCTAAATCTTTCATATCATATCGAAAATATATGCGATTGTACTATCTTTTTATTTGTCTAATTTCACGACTATTGGGATGTAACCAGGTCAAGACACCCATGAACTTGTTCAATTCAACCCAAAGAATTACTCACAATCTGTGGTCAATGACATAAAAGTCAAATTTGAGCCAACCTCAACTTAACTTGTTGCCTATTTTAAAAAATAGTAATATAAAATGCACTTAAATTATAAAAGATATTTTGAAGTATAGTTTACTACATTATAGTGCATTCATTTTGCATTTTATTATTATTTGAATAAAAAATATTTTTCTTTAATAATGATTGAGCTCAATTATATATATATACTTTTTTTTTTTAAGAAATGGCCAAAGGCTATTATACGAGCCTCCAACTACCCTTAATGTGTCTAACAATTCGAGTGTCATCTCCTTAAGACTAACTGTGCGAGAGGGGGTTTGAACCCCGGACCTGAGAAGTCTTATATGGTGGATGCCAACAAACAGGTCATAGTACGTGCGCGCACACACAAATATAATATATATATCTCTGTGTGTGTGAGTGTGAGTGTGCGTGCGAGCGCGAACGCGTACCGCGTCTTTTGATGGAGCAGCATCTCTAAAGGTCGTAAGTCCCCTTAGGTCACGGGTTCTAATCTATTCATGTGTAAGGTGTGGTATTCAAATATTTAACAGACCTTGGAATGGCGGGGCTTGTCTAAAAGCATTTGTCTATTGTTCTTACTGACTCAAGCGAAAGGTTTGATATATTTTTTTTCTTAATAAATCATTATGCGTAAAGAAGCTTTGATAATGTTTGATTTAACCACAAAATATATTTTTATAATCATATAATGACATTTAAACATCATGAATGGTCCAATTTTGATGTTCTTAAAAAAAGGCAATACATCTCCCTAATAATACAAGGTAAAAAGCTTATTTAATGGTTATTCAGCTTTGTCTTGTGATTAATTGACAAATAAAAATATTACTTGTGGAGTGCGTGAAGAACTTCCTCAGCTAGATAGACCCACCATTAGAATCAAATAAAGAAACAAAATAAATAAAAGACTTATAGATAATAATATTATTATTATTATTATCATTAATAAATTAAGATTTTGCCTTGCATTTGTCCTCAACCACCCTTAGTCCTGACCAAATGCCAATCTGAATTGCTTATGGAAATATAGGATTTAGAGTCACCAATCCATTTAAAGGAACGATAATGTCCTTAATTTTGAATTGGTATAATCTAATTCAATGGGGGTTGAATTGTTGTGCATACTTTTGCATAATTTTGTGTTAATTGAAGATTCATTTATCTATGATTTCACTATTGGAGATATGTATCACTTAATTTGTGTATGTAACCTAATTAGACTAAGGTGGTGATCTCTCCATGAAGTCCACAAACTTCTTTCTTCAGCCGATAGAAAAAATCTCGTATTTTCAATGTCTGCTTGTTGTCCAGCCGTCGTTTACACATCTGTTACCCTTCCTGCAGCTTCCATAACCATTTTTTTTTGTGTTTTCCCACATCACTTAGGAGCCCTAGAATAGTATCACATACATAGAGATATTATTTGAAAATAAATACAATGAAGATAATCATATACTTTTTTGGTAGTGCCTTAATCATAATTCAAGAATATTAATTTGTCAATTAATGATGTGATATTTTGAGGTTCCAACTTTTTTCTAGCATACAAAATGGACATAAATTAGAAAAATCTAAGAGTTATCTAAATTATCTAAATTACCTTATGAAGTTGATCATAACATGTCTTGGGTAGTTGGTCCAAATTTCTTTGAGCTATAGAGCAAAAAAAAATTGAGTTAATAAAATTCTTAAAAGCCCGACTCCACGTAGTGGGTTTAAGGCTTTGTTGTTGTTGTTGTACACCATTCCAATTTTATCCTCTTAGCGCTTTAAAAGATCAGATTAGACCGGCATGGCCAATCATTTTATTTGTAAATTATCCTCTTGTTGGTTCGATCTAGTTCCAAAATCTATTTTGCATAAAACCAAACAAAATTAAGGTTGAAATAGTAAACCGCCCCAATTTTTTTATCAATCGTGAAATTCTAATACTGATCGATTATTTACTTATTTATTTAATGATGAGGCAAATAGAAGTAAGAGAAGTTATATTAAAATTAAAAATAAATAATTAAAATATGATATCCAAAAATTTTGATTTGGAATTTTTTAAAAAAAATATTCAAGAGCATAGTGCATAGTGATCAAATATGAAGCACATTGATTATAAATAAAGTGAAGAATTCCTAACAAATTGGCCAAAAAAAAATATTATTGTATTATTTTTTATTATTATTTAAATTATATTAAAATAATATTAATATTTATTATTTCATCTCATTTAAATATGATCAAATTATTGGACTTTAAATTTCTTCTTCTGTTGCTATGTTTGAACTTATTTTTAAAATCTTGCTCTATCACCAGTCCCTTTTTTAATTGAAAATAATTTAAGATAAATTAATTCAAATATAATAGTAGCTAAAATTAAATTAATTGAATCATATTAAAATTGATCTAAATGCTAATTAAAGAATTTAAAAAATATAAGGAAAAGCTCATTTATTGCCTTCCTCATGATCTGATAAATGCTATTACAAATATTTCCTTTGATATTTCTAAAAAGGATGTTGTGGTGTTCAAATCCTCTTTGAATGGTTCTCTTTCTAAAAATATTGCTAGCAGTCTTCATAACCATCCAAATGATAAGGGAGACGTTATATGGAACTCTATTCTCAAACCATCATAATCTTTCTTTGCCTGGAGATTGAATTTTAGAACTCAAATGACTCAGGTTGCCTTCACGTTGCCTGCTGTGCAAAAAATGAGGAAGAAAATATCTCTCAACTCTTTTTCCAGTGCAAGTTTGTTTCTGAATATTTGGGGAAATTGAAAAATTATTTGGTCTGGGCTCCGGACTTAGAGATACGTCCCGAGTCTAATGAATCACCTCCATGTGGAGCTGATAAAAAAAAAACTTGATTTTTTGTGATCCGGCCCGATAACACAGGAGAATATTCTTCTTGTGTTATTCCGCGTTATTCAAGTATTATTATGGTGATATTGATGTGTTATTGTGTTATTATAATACCAGAAATCTTCCCAGAACATAATAATATATGTATACCACCACAATAACATTTAAATAGTGCGAAATAACACGGAGCTAAAACGATTTTTTTTTTTCCTGTCACCTCCACCTGACGCGATTTCATTGGACTCCGGACGTTTCTCTACTTACGGAGTCCGGACATAATATTTGGCTGGGGGAATTTTGCTTCGGTATTTTCTTACCTGTTAAAGGGTATACATGCTTAGAATATTGCTTTCAATGTTGGAATTTTGAAAATGTTACAAAAATCAAATATACTCAATATGATTCCTTGCATAGTTTGTTGGTGTTTGTGTCTAGAGAGAAATAAAAGGAAGCATCAAGGAGTGGACTCAGCTGCTGATAAAATTCTAATTCATATAAACTCTTTTATTACAAAAGTTGTAAACTATAATAAGATTAACAAAATAGGCATGGGGACAAATCCTGGCTTCTTTGGTTTAAACAAAGTTGTTTCTCTGTTTGATAAGTGCAAATTGATTTAGTGGGTGAAGCCTACTTGGCCTTACCTGAAGCTTAATAATGACGGCAGCCATAAGCAATTTTTGGCTGGCGTTGGTGGCATCCTCAGAAATTCTCAAGAAGGATGGTTTATTATCTTTTATGCACGTTGTATTCTTGTTATGTTCATCATGATGAGTTCTCTGCTTTGTTTTATGGTTTGATGGTGGCAAAAGGACTCGAATTTCATAATCTGATTATTGAAATGGATGACAACTCTCTTTCATGTTTGCAATGGTATTATTAGCAGTCATTGTACTGTTAAGTTAATTTGGAACAAAATTAAGCCATGTTTCAATATTCAGTGCCTCATGTTTATAGGGAAGCTAATAAACCAGCTGATTATTTAGCTAAGCTTGAAGCCAATAAAGGGGAGGTTTGTGTAAGAGCCTCTTTTGATTCTAATCTGAAACCGCTGATTAAGGGTAATTTTTTTGATCCACCTCATATTAGATCATCACACTAACCTCTTTTATTTTACTTTACTTTTATATTTCACAAGCAGGCACGAGCGCACACACACATCATATATATATATATATGTATGTATGTATGTATGTATGTATATATATGTATGTACGTACGGACTTTATTTCATTCTGGTATGCATGTGAAGTTAAAGCTAGACGGAATAAGGCTTCATGGCGATCAAGTTTCCATTTCTGTTTTTGTTTTTTTCCTAACTATTGTATTTTCTAATACTTTCTTGTGCGAGTTGTATCGTTTGGTAAGGGATCCATAGGTTTACTTTTAGGTTATGTTTTTTGGGTTTAGTTTGGAAGCCTTACCATTCTATGCATCATTTTCCTAATATTAATAAAATCCCCTATGGGGTTCATGAAATAAATAAATCAATATATATATATATATATATATATATACACATCAAGTCAAAAAAAACCAAATACAAAAAAAAAAAACAAATCTTTGTTTGAGTTTGACTCGTTTATGTATCGAGTGTAAAAAAAAAGTTTGTGTTCAGCTTGTTTACTGAGCGAACGAATCAAACACGAGCTTCTCAACGAGTCTAACACGAACTACTCGTGAACAACAAACCATTTTGACAAACCTACTACTTTCACATGGGGCTACGGGGCATCTAGCTCCACTTTTTTTTTTTTTTTTCTTAGAAATACCCTATTAATTAACTAGGGCCAATCAACATCACATAAGTTCATAATAGTGCTTTTTACATGCATAATAAACTAAATATATAATTTGGACTCCTGCCCTACTTTGAGCCATTCCTTTATTTAGTTTTGTTTTAGTCCTAATAATGATCAATTAACTAGTCTAATTAGAAATCAAAGTATAATATTAATAATAATAATAATAATAATAGTAATAATATTGATTTCAATGATGAAAATCATAAGTCACTTCAGTTAAAATCAAATTTATTTTTTTTTATCCTGTTACCTTCACCTCAACAAGGTGACAAACGTGTTACTTGAAAGTTATCACAACAGCCAAGCTTCATTTAAATTATGTTGATATTATTGTTATTTAGAGCCTTATTAAATGAATTATATAGCCTTTTTTGTCATCATTAAAATGTCTGTGCAGTGCAATTCATCAACAGAAAGTGATATTTATAGTTGCTAATAATTGGCGTAAGGATAATGAATTTGAATTTGAATAACCAATTTTAATTTTCCACTCGGAGAAATAATCGATCATGCAATAGATATTTAGCATTTGCATACGTACCACATTGTACATCAAAAAATGTGTCAGCACTGATTCTAAGGAGATCTAATGATCCAGAAGAAAAGAGTATGATGGAGGAGCGCTCACCGATAGAAGACCGTGAAGCCCACTTGTTCAATTGAGTGAATTTATCCGAGAAAAAAACTAATAAGGCCAAAATCAACCGAGCCAGAAGACAGATTAAAGACGATTGAAGGGAACAAAAATGAGCAATTCAGAAAGAAACAAGACAAGAATATTCGAGTCAACAATTATAGGAGAGCCGACACAAGAAAGATTTGGTTCCTTAACATCTCCCACAATCCTAGAGACATCAGATATCTCTCAACCGGGGTCAAGGATCGACAGTAGGGTCGTATCAATCCGTCAACGTATATCAACCAACTTATTTAACCGAGGTGAACGCATTAGTTGAGCAGATCTTAACCTACCACGCTGATCTTACCGATTCAAAACAAATTAAGCTAAGTCGGCCGACTCAGAGAGCAGTCACACAATAATCTTATACATGCAAATGTAAAAAATTTCCTAATACGGACCCCAATAAAGCAGGGAAAAGTATGTAGCATCATCATATTATATTCTCTTCCCTATAAATAGGAAAATTATTTTATGAATAAGTGTACGTGCTGAAGTGGAGGCCATACACAAGAGTTTTGAAGTTTCATACATGTGATTAATACGATATTAATTAATAGTTATTTTAATTATGAAGTTTCGTATTCCCAAAGGGACAAGCCTCTTCACTTAATTAGGTCATTGGAAAGTGATAACCCTCAATTAAAACAAGACTATTCATTTGTGCAGAATACAACCGTGGATGTCAAAATTGTTATGTGAAATTCCATATGAGATAACTCAAATTTAGAACACTTATTATGGAAAACAATAGATGACCAAATACTATGAGACTCATCGGTTACTCCAGTCTATCCTATAATTGGGCTTTATAAGTTTGAAAGTGAAGTGATTATTTTTATTTGAGTCGAGTAAATTTTTAGACTTAGATTCGATGGGACGAGCAATCGAAGAGTCCTATAGTTATTTTCAGGCTCTCAACATTGAGGAATGATGTATTTATCGAGTTATGGTATTTCATCTTTTTTTCGATAGTATATCATTCTTGTACTGACAAAAAGCTCTTCAGTAGAGATTGAGGGTTGACAACCATACTAGATCACCTGAACGACAACGTTGAATAAGCCTAGTCGACCAAACCGCTCTACAAACTTGAAGTCAATCAGGCTAAGCCAGAGAATAGCCTAGTGTTAGGCTCTTACATGTAAAATACCTAGAATACCTTATACAACACTCATTAAAACATATTAAAAAATATAACATTGTCACATTATAGTCTCCCTCCAATAAATAGAAAGATCATTTTATGTATAAAGAATGATGGAAATGATTGACACGATAAACACTACATTTTATTATTCATTGTTATTCACTCCTCACTATCTCACACAAACACAATACAATATATACTATTACTATCAGACAGCACATATCAAAATAAAATTACATAAAAAGAGGCGTTTGCATACATGCCACCCAATTCTCACGTATTTGCATAGCTACCACCTAAGCTTAATTCTTTTAACTATAGATTCATATGTCTCTCTCTCTCTCTCTCTCTCTCTCTCTATAT